TTAAGGTTTTAACGAGGCATGATACAATCGTCATTCAAGGGGGAGTGTTATGAAATATTAGTTTGTGAATGACCATTGGATTCTCCATTTCTCCCATAACTCCCCATCATTATTTAGCATTAGTAACAACCATTTCAATGTGTTTTATGAATGTAATAATACACCATCATAATGTGCATTCATATTATAACTCATCTTTCATCTTATTTGGATAGTATAAATAGTGAGCCATATGTATTAGGCACTGGATGATTTCATCACAAATATTGGAATAAAAGTTCTCTCTACTCTTATTTCTTTCTTTACTTTATAATTTATATTGTTATTTGATCATATTTTATAACAGGGATGAGGTTGGTTTTTGGTTATTTATTGGAGAAATATAATATGTATTCTGCATTACAAGTGCTTATCTATAAAATTTAACATTTGTTACTTTAGAATTGTATTTTGGCTTGATATAACCATGATCATCCCATATTTAATACCTTGCACCTTTGCTACATGTTTACTTAAATTCATTAAATTAAGATTTAACATTTTTTTTAAAAACAAATATAGACAAGAAACTATTGAATGGATATGCTAAAAGATACATGAGACTTGCCTTTTGTGAGATCAGTAATATCAAATTGGACCACTTTTTGCAAAATAATTTAAGAACCGAAGAAAACCTGATTGCCCAAATATATAATATCATTATTTAAGTCTAACCTATTATATGCTAACAAAATTGAAAATTTTAGCCAAAACTCTGTAACATGTCATCAAAGATGAAAAAGGATCCTTTAAAGTTAGATGCAGGTATTAATTTAAAAAATCGTCTGTCACTTTTCGTTAGATGTATTTTTTGTGACAGTAACAATTATCAGTCCAAACATAATCTGTGAAAACCATCATAGCCAAATCATAGACCGCTTAATCAACAAAATTGAATACCACAGTAGTATATGGTAATCCACTTAGAACATCTTTTTCTAAAAGATCAAAAAATTGACAATTTATTAGAATCTTATCACGCTGATAAAAGTCATAACAAAGTGCAATAGATTGAATCGATAGTTTACAATAACAATAATAATAATAATAATAATAATAATAATAATAATAATAATAATAATAATAAAATGAAGCCCTATCGGCGGTAGAAAAACTTAAGGACGAGACAAAAAAAAAAAAAAACACGTAACACTACGAAGTTACAAACATCAAAAATACATGATGCTAAAAATCTAGAAAGAAAAAACAAAATTTATACCTAGTTGTGAGGTGAATGTAGAGAACTTTTGTCAGATTCTTTGACACATTTCGTCAAACACCTAAGGTGGATGTTCTAATAACCTATCTTTTGAATGTAACATGATAAAAAAAATCTAATGTTACAGGAAAGTATATGAAATGAACTAAATTAACATGTATTTAGATTATGCATTTATTTAGAACAATGTTCCTTCAGCAATATATTTATTATTGTTTCATACCTGCATACAAAGTTTAATTAAAAAAATGTTAATTGTAATTATGCAATTTGATTATAACATATAAAAACGACCACATAGAAAATTTAAGAATTAAATAATTTTTTTGTCTATAATACCGTAAATCTTATATTTAAGGAAATAAGATCATTTTTAATTTAGATTCTAACTTCTTAGCCTACTTTTGATGTAGTTCATGTATTAATATGTAGACAAGAATGTTGATATTAAGCGTTGTATATTGTTGTTACCAATAAAAAAATAAGTTGTAGTTTAAATTAAAAGTTCTTTTTTCATGGTAAGTATGTTGCTATAATTTGTAAAAAAATAACATAGCCATTGCAATTGATAGAGGTTGTTGAGGATCGAGTACAAGTTATTAGGTTAAGCATTTAATATGAAAAGTTATACATTGTTGTTTTGATTGATTTAATAATGTAATATGTTAAGTCAAAAAAACCTTATGTGATGTTTTATGAGATTTCAAAGTAGAAACATAATTTTCTTAGTCATAGAAAACAATGTTTGAAATGTTGTACTTACTCTATAGAGACATACAAATCAGAATAATTATAATTTAATCTTTTCTTGATTAAATTGTTTATAAAATCCATCACCTTAATAGTGAATAGAAAATAAATTAAAAGACATTTACAACACGAAAAAATACAACATGTTATTGTTAAAAATGTTATAACAATGTACTTTACACGTACATTCCTAAAAATGGTTTAATATGAAGTTATTATATTCGACAATAAAGTTAGAAACAGTAACTAAGTTGAGATAGTCAAACAAACAGAAATAGTAACAACAACCAATTTGATCCATTTTTAAATTAAATTACCGAGTTACCCTTCTGATGAACATAGTCCATGCTAAATTAATGATTTAGCCTTCGGATAAAAAATGGAAGTATCATGCTAAAAAATCATTTTAATATACGTGTCATATCAATATCTATTGTTGAATTTCTTTTCCGGCCCATTGTTTTTCTAGTTTCCTAAGTCGAATTACTCTTTTGCCCTTATGTTTCCTTACTTAAAGGTTTCTTGCATTTAACTTGTAATCAAATTAAAATGAATCACATAAATTTAGGAGTTTATTGACACATTCAAAAGGTAAATTCGAATCTTCCTTCTTTATTCTATCACAAATAAAATTACATTTTTGCCCTAAACCTTAAAATCATACTTAACATTTTAAAAACATCATCTAACAATGTACTTACTCTATATTATGTTTTAACTGGTTTCCATCAAAGTACACTATTTTTTTTCTGGATTAAAGGTACGTAATAACTTTTCCTATTTATTTGAAAAGTTTCATAAAAAATGTTAATCAATTTCATGTAAGTTGTGACAAAGCAAATCGAAATATATGAATACATATATTTGATACAGGAACAAAAAAATATAAAAAAGCAAAAGAAGGTACCGACATTTGAAAATAAGTGTAAGCCGCGGATTCAAGGATGAATCGTATATGTATGTGATAATTTGAATTTGATTTTTTTGTATTAATGGTTTCTAATAAAAATGGATTTTATATTAATAATTTGCTAATATAAATGTATTTATATTAATGATTGATATTTAATGCCTTAACTGAAATGATTTTTAGTAATATGTTTTTAAAGTTGACAATTTTTAAAATCTTTATAACTGGAAATTCAAAATTTAAAATACGGAAAGTTTTTATTAGAATTAAATATATTCTATTTCAATGGATCTAAGTTAATTTTGTTTAAAAATTGGAAAGTTTTTATTGGAATTAAATACATTCCATTTCGGAAGATGATGTCAACAATTTGATCTAAGTGTGGAAAACATATGATTTAAATACAGTCAATGAACCAAATTGTTTAAAATGATGTCATATGATTTTTGTTTTAATATATATATATTAAAAAATAACATAATTATTGATATGCTTATTTAAGGAGCCTTTTAAAAAGAAAAAAAAAACTAAACATGTTTGAATTTTGAAGCCAAAAACTATAATTAAGGGAGTTCAATTATTAACAATATTAATTAGGGTTAATGATGACATATATTCTTAAAAGATGTATTGAAGGAGATGCTTACTTCGTTTTCCAGATATTTGTGTGAAGCCAAAACAGAGTTGTGATAATTGGAGATGAAAGGAAAAAGCAACACGCAAATTCTAAGAATGCATGAGCAAAAAGGAACCACCTTATGGTGCTACATTCTGTTGTGAACACACAAAACATCAATTGAATCACAATCATTGACATGACAACGAAGAGGATTAGGGAATTATGGTTTAAGATAAAAAAATAGAGGAGAAAAATGGGCGGTTATTCATGTTTATGGTCAGATTTATGGCGCAACTGATACTTCATATTTAAATAGAATGATATGCTTCAATTGATAACATAATTGTTGATTTTAAAAATTCTATAATTAAATGTAATTATGCACGAATTGTGAAATATATTTTAGAAAGTATGAATAGATTCTATAATTAAAGATTCTATCATTAAATGTAATTGTGTTTGAAATGTAATTGTTAAATTTAAAGATTCTATAATTAAATGTTTGAATTCTATTTTGAAAAGATGATGTCATCAATTTGATCAAAGGGTGGAAATCATTAGATTGAGATACAATCAAAGACCCTGATTGCTTCATTGGTGAATTAAGGGTTCTCTTTTAATAATATTTAGAGATTAAAGATTTGATATTATATTATTTTTTAAGGTTGGGATAGATTCGAGAATAAAATGATGTAGAAAATGAATTTTGATGTTGGATACTTGGGTTAAAGACGCCCAACCAACTATCAACTCATATTATATTCCTTTAATTTTACTTAAAAGTCAAAATAGCCCAAGTAACAATGACGATTTATGACAGTTGGCAAGTCAAGATTTAAATGCTAGGAAAAATAGTTTTGAATTTCTATATTTAGTAAAATCTATAATAAAAAGTAGAAAACGTCATCGTTTATATTACACCCAGCAATCTAAACCAACTACAAATTTATTTTATTATCAATAAACTGTCATCAAATTAATTCGTCCTGCCAACAACTTTTGGCAATATAAACATTTTGGGGGATATGATATCTCTTATCTAAGTTCAAATTTGGTTATTGCCCTTTGTTGTAGCCATAAAGTTTTGTTTGTGGTGACTTTGGATTTGTTTGTGGTTATTTAGGACATGATACATAATGCATAATTTTATATTCTTATGTGAGATTAATTATGACCCTTATTAGAAGAGACTGTTCTTAAAAAAAAAAAAAAAAACATTTGCAAACATCGTAATAGTATTATAGAAAACCTTTTATGGCTTCCTTGACAACCTCGTAAAACATTAAAACCTTCGATCCACATAACAAGAAGCTAAAAAAAGTTTCTAGAAACAAAAAGAATTCTAGTATATCTAATGGGGACCTCGATGCAGTATATTTAAACTAGAGGAGCCAAAGTTTAAATTAACAAAAGTACAAGGGGCATCAAAGTAAAAGACACATAATGACCCACAAGAAGAGTCTCACTGTTCAAGTATTATAAAACCATCCCTTTCTCCACACCCTAAACTCACAATCACAGACCACGCACGAATCATATACTTGTACATCATTCATAAAAAGTTGTACATATTTACGAACTAGAAAATTCCATTTCCACAATGCAGGCTGTTCTATTATAAGTAGTCCCTCCCTTCATCTCGTGAAGTGAACACGCAGTGGCTCCCATCAAATAAAAATGAAAACGCTTTCTTCTTCATTGGTTCTTAATCTTCTTATTCATGTGGGGTTACCTGTAATTACCATTATAGCCTTCTACTTCTTGAATATTATATGGATGAAACCGCAAAGACTAAGAAGAAAGCTCGAAAAGCAAGGAATCAGAGGGCCAAAACCGTCTTTTCCATATGGGAATGTGGGTGAGATGCAGAAGATTCAAGCGGCTGCAATCGCCATGAAAGCTTCAAGGTCAAGCGATGGAGATTTTGTAGGTGATGATTATACGTCTACTCTCTTCCCATACTTTGAACAATGGAGGAAACAATACGGTATGTTATGCCTTATCACCACTTATTTTAATTCTTTATAAACTTGAATATTTGCAAAATTTGGGATACAATTGTTCTCGTTTTTTGGATTATGATGTTTTCTTTGGATGTATGCAATTATAATGGTTTTTTAATCTAAAAAATAAAAACGAGATGAAGGTTACAATTGTTGATCATCCTGATTCTCATTGGCAATTTGGGAAAAGTTGGAACCGAATCTTTGTGGGTCTTTTATCTTGTTTATAGTTATTTTAATGTTGTCAATGGTATATTTAAATAATTATAATTTTACTTTTAAATAAATACATTTGTACGGATTGTTTTTTTTTAAATACGATTTCCATAAATATTAAATTTATTAAATAAAAGAGATTTTTTATATCCTAAGAATATATATTAGAAACCTTAATCGAAGATAACAACCCATACATACTTTTCACGATATAATTATTATGAACAAGATTTTAAATGAAGCTTGTTGGAAAAAAGATAAATAGAACATAAATTGGAAAAAAGATAAATAGAACATAAATGTCAAGACTCTACTTAATAAGCTTGAAATTGTTAATGCCAAACAAATTTTTTTTAAATGAATATCATATGATATAATAAAAGCTTGACAATAAGTTAATAACTTGTACGTCATTCTTTTGGAGAAATTAAAAGATTTGATAAAAAGGTATAATAATTAAACTAAAGTTTTAAATCTGTACCGACTTTTAAGAAACACAAAACAACAATTTTTAAAACATAAAAAAATCATAATATTCAAAAAAGTAAATTACAAACATTATAAAGACGAATGCATGATAAACTTGAAAACTATCTTGTCTATGAAGATTGTTCGTGTGGGACATATGACGCGTGTAGGGCAATATGCATGTCACTATATACATATAAATTATGTAATATATTTATTATTTAAATAAAGAAATACCAATATATTCTCTATTCTGGTCTGATTGGTTATATCTTCGCAAATCTTTGCAATTTCCTATTCTTTAAGATACAATGATTAATTATTTATTATTTAAAAATCACACTTTAACATAGGATAAGATTGAGACGTTAAGTCAACACACCGTCTTTAATTTTGTTCAAAAAGTTTGGTAAATAAATAAATAAATAAGCAATTGATCAAATTTCGCACAACTTTTGATAATATAATTTCTTTGAAAGAACTAAGACAACATTTTTTTTATTTGAATCTCAAATAACCATTCATAGGTATAGTAACACAACGTTATCTTTTATAATTCATCTTAATATCATATATGAACAAATATTTAATAGAACATATATTTCATCACCAACTTCGTTTTTTTTTTTTTTTCTAAGAAAAGAAAATACTAGATTGGTACCCTTTGTATTTATCTTTTTCATGAAACCGATGTGTCAATGTTCCCCCAACGTCCTTTCTGATTCTTATATTCAAATCTAAATTAAAAATCAAGTGGGTCTAGAAACATCTTGTGTAAGTAATAATTAAGTGTTATAAATATTAATAGCTGTCGCATTGTATATTTACATTTATTGATACCAAAACACGTTTGTAGATTAAACAATTATATACATAAGAGCCCACTGCATTGTCGCTATCTTGTTTTAAGAAGGATGAATTAAATAGATTTAATATTACTATTGTAGTTTCCAAGGTACAAGTGAGCATAGCTAGGGTTAGGACTTAGGTACAAGTCCACTAAGCTGCGCATGCTATAATGCTTGAGAACGAGAGGTTCTTTGAATTCAAATACGTACCCATTAATTTTGATATTATGAGCTGGATGGAATCATTAGTAGTGTTATTGATATGTGATGTCGTTGTTTTCATTTTCTTTGTCCTTTTAAGACAAATATTGCACATTCTATGATTTCTATCCACGGAATGGGATGCAAATATTTATATGTATAAAGTGAAAGAATTCGTTAGTAAATTAACAGAGGTTTTGGAGTTAATATATATATATATATATATATATATATATATATATATATATATATATATACACACACATACATACAGTAGCGGTGACAAGATCAAAATAAAGGGGTATCACACACTGATGGGTTTGGGTTTTCGGTTTTCCAATTCGGTTTCTGGTTTAAACCCAAATCCATTCGAAAATTTAATTTGTTGAAAATTGAGAAGCTTTTGTAACTTATATAACATATGATGTATAAGACCTATGTTTTTATGGCCGATGTTAAGGGCCAAGATTCCACATAGTGACCTCAAAGTTAAAACTTCAACCCTTTGCCACTTGGACAACTCAATATTCGTGTTTAATTTTCACATAAAACTTCAACCCTTTGCCACTTGGACAACTCAATATTCGTGTTTAATTTTCACATCATAATATAATAGGTATAATCCGTATAAAGCCATATAAACGGAGTTGTAGAAAAAAAAACAAATGTTTGAAAGAATATTTGAACTTGCAACCTTTGAAAACACCAATTAAAGCCTTAACCATCTTAACCAAGCTAAACATACTAATATTATGTATATATACACATATAAACTAAAAAAATTACATTACTAATTTTTTTTTTGAGGAGTATTGCAGGGTACCCCAGGCTCTATAGTGGATCCGCCCATGTATAATGACTATTTCATTATAAAAGAACTAAATTTATAACCTAATTTTTAAATAATTTTTGAAATGAAAATCAAATCTAAAATTGAGCATTGACATGAGAAATTAAATATTTTCATTTTTTTCTTCTTACTTATAGTCATACCCATGTAAAATGGTGATAAATATCATATTTTAATAAAAGTAATTATATTTTAAGACATTTATCATATAGGTTGGAAGATAAGGAGAAAAAAATTAATATATATATATATATATATATATATATATATATATATATATATATATATTTATTGAAATCAGAAATATTTATAATGACCGGTTTGTGAACTAAATATTACATATTACTCCATTAATCAATAAAAAGATTTATATATAATATATGTGTATGCTGACTGGATCACATCACAAAAATCCATTCAACTCGTTACAAGAGGTGCATTGTTCCAATTTGGAAGTGAATTTCATTTTATTTTGAGTAAATTACATGAATGGTTCCTATGGTTTGGGGTAATTTTCATGTTTAGTCTCTAACTTATTTTTTTAATTTGGAACAGGGAGATCCCTGCTGTTTGTTTTTGTTACGCGTTTGGTCCCTACTATTTGTTTTTGTTACACGTTTGGTCCCTATCTTACCTAAAAAGATTATTATTTAAATAAGAAAAAATGGTGGGCAGGTAAAATAAGGTGAAGGAGGTGAGATTGGGGGTGTGTTAATTTAAATAAATCGAAAAATCAATGGCAAAATAGTATTTTTTAGATAAATCAGGGACCAAGCGAGTAACAAAAACAAACAGTAGGGACTTTTCGAATTAAAAAAATAAGTTAGGGACCAAACGTGCAAATTATCCTAAACCATAGGGACTATTCGTGTAATTTACTCTTTTATTTTTTACCCAAAAGAAAATAAAACCAAAACCCTCTTTTTTTCATCTTTTCCTGAATAACCCCACTGTGGGACCATCTTTTGGTGAAAATGCCCTCATGGCAAAACCCCTCTTTAAAAAATCTAAAAGAGCCCAAAAATCTCGGAATTTTATTTTTTATATATGATGGAACTGTTAATTTTTGTATCCACCAAACCATCATCTATAAGGTAACTAGTTATCCAAGTGTTATCAATTCCAAAGAATTCTAATTAGTTATAGTGACATTATTTATTTAACATAAAAGTTAATTACCAAAATAGCATAAATGAAAGGATGAATTGGCATATTTGTGATATCAAGTGTAAGTGTTTGAATGCAGGTTCAATATATACATACTCGACAGGGAATAAACAACACCTGTATATAAATGATCCAGAGCTTGTTAAAGAAATGAACCAGTCCATCACTCTTGGACTTGGTAAACCTTCTTACGTTACCAAAAGACTCTCTCCTCTCCTTGGCAATGGAATCCTCAGATCAAATGGCCATTTTTGGGTCCACCAAAGGAAAATTATTGCCCCTGAATTCTTCATGGATAAAGTCAAGGTACCTCCCTAGCTACTTTTCCCTACTCAATCTGTATCTGTATCTGTATCTGTTACCTGTTAACATATCTAGATGTGTGTTGATTGGTTAGGGTATGGTGGGGCTAATGTCGGAATCGGCTGAACCGCTTTTGAGGAAATGGGAAGCTTGCATCGAAGGTGAAGGTAGTGGAATAGCCGATATAAGAGTAGATGATGATCTGAGGGCTGTTTCTGCAGATGTGATTTCAAGGGCTTGTTTTGGAAGCTCTTATACAAAAGGCAAAGAGATTTTCTCCAAGCTTAGAACCCTTCAGAAAACTATCTCATCTAAAGGCATGCTCTTTGGCCTTCCTACTTATGGGTAAGCTAGCTAGCTAGCTGCAAAAACAGTAAAACTTTTTTTACATCAAACTGATGGATGAATATCGAATAACAAGTTATTATATGATACAGACTGAGGAAAGATGTAAAGAGCTTAGAAAAAGAGATAGATTCATTGATATGGGAAGCTGTATGCGAAAGAAAATGTCAACAAACACCATTGTTGAAGAAAGATCTTCTGCAAATGATCCTGGAAGAAGCCATGGATCATTTCGCCAGCAAAGACGAAAGCAAACATTTCATCGTCGATAACTGTAAGAATATTTACTTCGCCGGGCACGAATCGACGAGTGTCGCTGCATCATGGTGCTTGATGCTGCTCGCATTACACCCAGAATGGCAAACTCACATCTCCGACGAAATGTCCGAAGCTTGCCCTAATGGTGTTCTCGATGTTGATTCACTCCCTAAATTGAAATCGGTACAATTCATACTCCATAATTCTCAACAGGGTACCACTATTCATGCAGTGAGTACAAGTCATAATCTGATTGAATGCGCAGGTGACGATGGTGATTCAAGAAGCGATGCGGTTGTTCCCGCCGGCAGCGTTTGTGTCACGTGAGGCACTAGAAAGGACGCAGATAGGGCACGTGGACGTGCCTAAAGGAGTATGCATATGGAGTTTGATCCCGACCCTTCATCGTGACCCGGAAATATGGGGCCCGGATTCCCATGTATTTCGACCCGACAGGTTCATTAATGGTGTAACAAAAGCATGCAAAAGCCCACAAGCATATGTTCCTTTTGGGGTTGGGGCCCGGTCTTGTTTGGGCCGAAATTTTGCTATGGCCCAACTGAAAGTTGTCATTTCACTCATCACTTCCAAGTTCAAATTTTCGTTATCTCCAAACTATCAACATTCTCCTGCTTATAGAATGGTTGTACAACCTGGCCATGGTGTCAACATCATCGTTCACAAGTCGTAGCGGATTATATAACTCATTTTTAGCGGTTGTTTTATTTTTCTCTATCAAGTCTTGTTCCTGAATAGATAATGATATATGTGTTCATGAAGTGTTAGTATACATTAAGGTGTTAATAACTTAATATATATAATAATATATGTTTCTTTTACAAGACTTTATAAACCATATGAATAAGACAAACGACCGTTTTATCTTTACATTATAATCACGTATTATCTTCTTAACAGTTTTAACATAAGATAAGTTGGGAGGAATGAAGAAGTGCAAATAGGTAGTTGGTTGGCGTTTAAATACATTAAGTCGTGCTCTTCGTCTTAACACAGTAAATCATTATGTGTAGATTTAGTTGATATAAACAACCATGTATAGTTATTTGAATTAAGTGTTTAACACATGAATCCCTACTTGTATTCATTCAAACATATAATACATTTTGATTTAATTAATAATTAAGTCCATACATTATGTTACATAGCAATAGCATATCATATATCAAATCTTTCTAGCAATGGATTTCTTCAATGCAACTTGGATGAAGGTCATAGCCACAAACATTACAAGAAAACGCCCAAAACGACCCTTGTTTCTTGCAAAAATCACAAATGTAACGTTTTGCCATATCAAGTTTAAGAATGTGTTCGTGTTTACGGTCCATTACTTGTCGAGCCAATTCATCTCCTTCTTTCATTAAAGACGATTCTACCCCCAAGATCTTTGATTCGGTAAACGGAAAACCCTTAGCACCATATAACGAAACCAATTTTCGCCCATTTGTGGTAATTGTTTTCCCATTTGGTCCTAAAATTATCAAAGTTGGAATCCATTTGACTTCAAAGATTCTACAAAGATCTTGCCTTGTTTTATCGTTAAAAGGAATTGCTACCCATGGCATTTTGGTCAATCCGAGTTCAAACTCTTTAACATCTCTATCGGTTGAAATATATACAACTTCAAATTCTTGATCCTTATTTTTGACAATATCATTATACGCTTCAATGAGTTGTGTAGTGAAGTCACGACATGGTGGACACCAATTTGCACCAAAGTAAAGACCAATCGTCTTGCCCACAAGTTCCGATGAACATATCTACAAATAAGAACACAAAAAGCTTTAAACTTATCCAATCTTGGTAGCTAATTTTCTATAATAAAAAAACCAATAAATCCTAAACTCCTAACCTTTTCACCTTTACTATCAATCCCATTTGTAAAAAGATGTTCCAACTTCCCTTCTTGACGTTTTGCTTCATCTAAAGCTTTCAACTCTTCTTGTTTTTTCTTGGTGAACGGAAATGCATCGGGGCCATAGTCTTTTATGAGTCCAACGGAATCTTTTGCAAGCAATTTTGTGTCGATATTCAATGGGATAAACGATGGGATTTGATTAATTTTGTATAAATTACCAAGTTTCTTCTGTAAATTGACATCAAAAGGAACCACAAGCCATGGCATGGACTTCATGTGTTCTTTAAATCCATTTTCATCTCGGTCAAAGGATATGAAGATAATTTCGAGTTCATAGTCAACATCTTTTAGGGCGTTGTATGTTTGCAGAAGTTGTGGTATAAAAGCCTTACAAGGTCTACTCCAGTTTGCAGAGAACAATAAGCAAACTGATTTCTGTTTACATGATGATAAAGGTACCTAGAAAAGTAGAAGTCAATCAAAAGAGAGTATATTTTGGATCAAATTCAGCATAAAGATTACTTTTTGTTTTGTTGGAATTGATTCATAATCATACCTTGAGTTCACCTGATAAAAGATGGTAAATTCCTTCTTGTTCCAGGATAGTTTTGAAGTTATCAACGGATTCACAACCAGGTCCTCCCATGGCCAGCTTCAAGTGAAGAAACTTGACCCAAGTTTCTTGATGTAGGAGGAGATGGTCAAATTAGTCAACGTGGGAGATATTTTGCACCCTTCCTTTTCTTCCTGGCTTATGGTTCACGCTATTCAGCTTATTGGAATTTATACCCTATCATGCTTTTCATATTATCAGCATGGATTTTGAGCATATTCTGTTATGCTTCTTTAATACATCATTGTTATACAAACTTGAAGAAGTAAAATGATCAAATGACAAATTTGCCCTTGCAACACAAGATTTAAATAAATTGCATAGTTGAATCAGGCTATAGAAACTTTTATCGAAGAACATGCCAAAGATCCCTGCTTGGCAATTCATCGAGCACATAGAGCGCATATATAAACAGGAATTGTATAATAGGTGTTTCGATCATAAACGAGTACTTGAACGATCGTTCGTTCCTAATTATTAGATGCGATCAAAGTTGAGCAACAATAGTTATTAGGGTTAAGGAATTAATAGTAGAAGTTGGGTTATGGGCTACTGATAAGGTCCCCCTAGAGGCCCTACTTGCTTCTTCTTATCTTGTTGTTGCAGTGGACGTTAATTAATTGTTTGATCAGGAAAAGTGGCTATCTACGTACACTTTCCGATTGATTGTGACCGTTTTGATTAAAAGAAAATGAATATACGAAAGAAAAAATCTTTTTAACTCGCAGTTTTTTACTGAACTGACGGAGAGAGGGAGACATGGCGGTCGTTGGTTCAGTTCACGGTGGTTCTCTCCACCCCAAATTCCAAACCCTACCGCCGGCCAAAATATTCAACAGCCAAAAAAGGTCAACACTCCATCGCCGGCCACCAAGTCCCCCAATTTTCATATCCACAAATCTCTCAGACGTAAACCCAATTCACTTGCAAAACCTTTATAGCTCCTGCAACCACTCCTGCCACCGTTTCCCTAACATCTCCCCCGACGGACGTGTAGAGCCCGTCGACGTCGACAAACTCCGCATCGCTCTCTCTCATAGCTCTGTCGTTGTTTCCGTCTTCGCTAGACCAGAAACTGTCGCTTCGTTACCGGAAAATTTGAATACTGGGGGTGATTGGTACCGAAGAATGATTCCATTGACGCCATTTAGCGGGAAATTGGTGGGATTCGGCCGAGCTGTTTCTGATAATGGATTGACTGCTTCAATTTACGATGTCATGGTACAAACCCTAAATAAAGTGGTCGCTTATTCATCCAATTTTTAGCATAAAGTAGGTTCGATTACTTGTTGGCATTTGTTTTTTCCAATCGTTGGAGTTTATGTAATAGATCATGCTTGTATTCATGTAATCTTGAGATCGATCAAGATTCCATAAGAAAGTTTCTTGAATCCCGATATCTTGGATCCTTAATGGCTGTATGTTCATGTAATCTCTTGTCAGTTACTGTGTAGGTAATCCCTTCATTACAAGGTCGAGGAATCGGGCGTATGATTCTCCAAAGGATTATAAGGTCTGTGAAAATCCCAAATTCCATCAGCTACCCAATCTTTTAACAGCATTTTTCATTGGTTTTTGGTAATTTAAATCTATCATCCTAGAAAAATTGAAGTGCAGAACTACAGATTGGATGCTTATATAATAAAAGTGACAAATGGGAAATGTGCTATTTGAATCATGCTAATGCAAGGTCCATTTGGTTGCAGATTGCTTACAAATAAAGGCATATATGACATAGCAGCTCTATGTTCGGATCAAGAAATGTAAGTAAATCGAAACAAATTTTGATGGGCAGATAGGTAATAATGGATTGAAACCACTAACAAGAACGTGAATTGACTAAATTACCCTCAGGGGTTTCTTCAAGGCATGTGGATTTGGAGATGATATACTCGGATCAACAACAATGATGTACACCAGGAGTGGCAATCATATCATGGTTAAAACTGCTGGTAGGAAAGTACTAATGGTTCCACCACTTAGAAAACCCTAGCCATTTTTAATATTTCATACTTTTATATATTAAGAGAATCAACATGCTATTCGAGGGTAATTTTGTAAACCCCTGCTCAGATTGAAGCCGGGTAGATTTAATGTATACTATAAGCTCAAAAGCCACAAATGCTTTTCCGTTTGTTATGTAATACAAACCTACGATTTTTGCTCCATGGGTTTTAAGTTACATCTTAATTGTCTAAATGTTGAAAACTTGTAATTGGGTTGTAAACTTGCAATTGGGTTGTAATTGGGTTGTAAAGAGAGAGACTTTTCTAAAAGAAGAAATGACATATTAATCATACGAGATTTTGTATATTTATCTATTCAGTCCTTTAAGTAATCACCGTGTTTTATAGAGACATAAAGTAGATATCCACCTACTTTTTTGGTCGGTGCAACCTGATATAACATTTTTTATAAGCCACATCAACTTTATTTTATGTTTTTTATTCTAAACAGTTAAGCTCACTACAATGTTAACCAAATAATCAAAATTAAGATTTCCTATAACACAACTCACTTTGAAGATTCCGACTTCACAAACCTCGTCTCGTCACAGGGAAGAAACCAAACGGCGTCTTTCTTTACCTCGATGACGATCAGACCATTCAATGTATCTTTCTCGGTGCTAGGGTTTCCTGGACAAACAAATTCGAAAAAATTGAAGAACAAAACCTTCACAAAAAAAAAAAACTTTATGCTCATAGTTGAAAGTAAAAGATAAGCGAAGGAAATTGCAATCTTATATTTAGCATATTTACATATTTACAGAGCTTCGAAAGATATTGAGTCGAGATGTAAGGAACTGAAGCTTTACATGAACTCGGAGATGCTACCACGTTGGAGGTCTGTTCGGTTATCGCATTAGGTTGCCTTCGACACAATGGCGATAGATTCATATCTGAAAAAGAAGGTAAAATCCGATTTCGGGGCTTTTCTCAATTGAAACAGTATTATAACCGATTACGACGTGTTTGGAAGCATGGCTATAACCTCTACGGACCATCCAGTACTGGAAAGTCCATTTTGTCTTATGATGTTTGCGATGTCAACCTTTGAAAAGTAGCAGAGGATTCAGATCGGAAAATTCTTTTATTGCAAACTACAAACAAGTTAATTGTCATGGTTGAAGATCTGGATCGGTTTATGACTTCGATGGAGATTAGATCAATCCCAAAATCTTGAAGATGATCCTCATAAACTTACAAAAATCGAGGTAGTGTGACAGTTGTAGTATCTGAGCTTCAATTGAAGAAGAAGATGTGTGTGGGTTTTTTTCTCTGTTGGAGAGAGAGAGAGAGAGAGAGAGAGAGAGAGAGAGAGAGAGAGAGAGAGAGAGAGTGAATGGTTTTAACTGAAATGCAAAAATAAGCGAACAAGAAGGATGTTTTTCAATTGTTTGCTGATGTGGCTTATAAAATCCGTTATATATCATGTTGCAGTGACCAAAAAAGTAGGTTAACATCTACTTTATGCCCTTATAAAACACGGAAATTACTTTAGGGACTTAATGGTAAAATGTGAAAAATATTGTAGGACTAATGTGTCATTTCCTCTTTTTAAGAAAGATTAACAAGTTGGTAGAGTTTCCTTTGCGGGACTTGACTTTCATACTGTTGACCGATGCTAATAGTTAAATTATAGGGATTTTTTCGTAATTTTGTTTAATTCGTACGAAAATTAAGTCCCGAGTCTGTATACCCTCTTTGCGGACGGGACACCCTCTTTGCGGACGGGACAGACTGATGGTATGCCGACTTAGATAACGAAAATAATTTATTGAAATTTATACTACTTAGTTTGTAGAAAATACCACCAGCCGCCAAGAGGTATCGAGGACAGGTGACGTGCTGCAGAGGGAAGTTTTTTTTTAAATTTTTTTTTCTTAAAGGTAATAAGTTAGTAGCTCGCAAAAGTTGTGTGCTAAACACACCTTTAAGTAAAAGTTTTGTAAACATTTTATACAAAACCTTAAGAACACAACATTTACCATTTGATTTTTTTTCAAATACAAAAGGTTAGTGAAAATATGAGATACGAAAAGTAAAAAATTTTGGAAAAATAAAGATCAATACCATTAAGTTTTCATCGATCTAATATGCCAACACTAAAAAGTTATTAAATGGTTTAACCATTGTGGAAACCACCGCCTTCGGAATCACATAAACACTCTATCGTCTCCTCCTCCTTTTCTAGTTCTCACCATCTTTCATTTTATCTTTATTGCTCCAAAAGATTTTTGAGGGACTCTTTCTCTTCTCTGCCGATTTCACGTTTCTTTTGAAGGCCTTCTAATCGTTCGTTTTTTTCTCCCAAATTAATTTCACGTCTCTTTCTACAAAAAAATTTCTGCACCTTCTATTGGTCTTCGTTGATGAGGTGTTGATATCGTCGGTTGCCACCAGCATCATTCGAGGTTAAATAGATCATTTGTATTAAGACAAAGTAAAAGTATATATGCCTAGATAATGCTTAATACTTCATAAGGTCATTGAAATATAGGACTTGAGATGTAACGTCCCAGAAATTTGAGAATCGATTTACTCTATGCAAGGGTAATGCTGCGAAAGCTGTAGTTCACTCGCAGATGATTTCGGGGATATACAGTTTGTCAAAAATGGATCCGTATGATTTACAGACAAAGCTCGAGAGGTCATTTGTCGAGATTACGACTGTCGTAGGGCTAAGGTATCCTCTTGATTGTTAATATGTAATTTTATTTACATAAGTATTGAGTCGTGACGGGTTGATAAACCCAATATAGTATTCGGATTGATAAACCCAATATAATGTGTGAACTCGTAACATGATGTTCTTATGAGAGGATTGAGAAGAGATAGATAAAACGGTTTTCATAGTGAAACTCTCGATTAAATAAAGAGGGTTGTTAACCCAAGTTTACAGGATTGTCCCACTGTAATATTAGACTATTGGCTTACAAAGTTAAGTCATTTGGTAATGTTTTTAATGAGCTCATTGTTTTGCTAACAAATGGATACCAAATTCTTTTAGTGATAAGGCAAAGGTCACTATAGTAAATATGAATAAATAAGATCTTAAGTGTATAAGACAAGTTTTGAGGAACTTGGTATTTGTCCACGTTGGACCAATATTTGAGCTAAGGAATAACGCGAGGTTAGAAGCCAGATCGAAAGTTAGTCTTCAGTAACTGTCAAGTAAGTACATGTGGATTTTTCCTATTTTGGGATACATGACATATTAGTAATGTTTTATGTGAAAATGATTTGTGAAAGATTCTAGTTTGAAAAGAAATGTGTTTTAGCTAGCAAATATATGTTTTTGAATAAATGAACTCTTTTATGAATATTGGTTAGCTAGCTACAGATTGGTATATTGATTATCTAAAAGGTGTTTTCATTTTATATGAGTAGAGTATTGTATCTGAATGTTAATTCTTACGTAAAGGTCAACGTATATGAACGATAGTTCTCGGATAAACCCAAATGTTAGTTCTTGGGTAAACCTGAATGATAGTGCATGGGTAAACCCAAATGATAGTTCTTGGGTAAACCCGCATGATAGTTCTCGGGTAAACTCATATTATAGTTCTTAGGGAAAGGTCATCGTATGAGTCGTTTTATGCGACTAAGCTCAATTTGGAGCCTTTATAGTCACTACGTGTGACCAACCCAAAGAAGAGTCTAGTGATCTGTCACTTCATGCGATCAACCCAATGAAGGTTTTAT